GGCGTTTGAGTAATTTAGTGCAATCTGGTAATGGATCATAGGAATGGAACAATGGACGACGAACCTGGACTACGCTTGGATGATGAGAAGATTGGGTACGGTTGTTTTTTGTAATAATTGTGCATTGTAATTGCTTATTGGTAATTTATGGATAATGTGTTAAGTCAATTGTTATATGTTGTATGGAACCACTGCTGTTTCTACTGTTTTTACTGTTTGTGAACCGCTGTGAGTCGCCTTCGGGCTTGAGATACAGCGGTATATAAGCAAAGTAAATAAATAATAAATAAATAAATAAAATAATTTATGCTGGCAGCAGTATACATTCATCGGAATTCAAGATGCTGAAGATATTAAAGCCTTAAAAAACCTTGAACCTAAATACTCACTTTTCCCTATATATGCCTACTTTTCTTCTTTTTCACCTTGTGTTCCTATAGTACAAGATGGCATATAAGTATTTTAATGAATTAATAAAAGAATTAATTTATGTCTGGGTCCGATCAATCATTTGTTTTATCATAATCCTATGTTTTCTATATGTAACTTATGCTTTCTGGTTCGAATGAACATAATACTCCTCCCTACTTTGTGGGTGTTGTGCTCTGCTCCTTTGGATTCTACTTTTTTGGGATCCAAAGCAGTCCTTTACACCTGATGTTGGCTGTCCCCAACTTATTTTTATAATAGGCTTGTCCTCCTTCTTCATATGCTCCTGTGTACTGTGATACCACTTGCAACCATGTGGGTAGAAGAGTCATGCAATCCTGATGGCTAGCTAAGTACACCAGGGTAGATAGCATCAAAGCAACAAGGTTCAATTGGGTTCAATATGGGTTCATGGAGAGGGAGCAGCAGCAAACACATTGATTTTGAGAGAAAACTGCCCTCTTGGGTCATGAGCTGCTTTGGAATTAGCAGGGCAGTTTCCCCTGGCAATTAAAATAGATTTTGCTTTTATTCCTCCCACTACAATTGCTTTATATCACTGTGTTTTTGGAGTCCTCATGAAGAATGAATACACTAGAATCCAAACATTATCTGCTATGCTTTCCTTTCCCCACATGACCAAGGCAGTTGTAACGAAAGGAGCCCATGTGTGTGTGTGTGTGTGTGTGAATTGTTGTTAGCCTTACTTTATAGTAATTGTTAGCTGCCCTGACTCCCTGTGTTGAGAGAAAGGTAAAATAAAAATAAATAAGCAAGTAAATAGCAAATATGTACCATCTAACAACGTAAGATTCACAGGCAAAGGATTATTTTTACTTCCACCGCTGTGCATAGCTCTGTCAAGGTTGTGAACCTGTCAGGACTAGTCTCCGCATCTGTGAAACAGTCTTTCTTTGGACCTCTGGCTGGAGGAGAATCTCACCTGTTTCTGTAAGAGACACAGAGATCCAGTTTGATTCACGAGATTAAGATGCTGAGTTGCACCTGTGGTTGCCAAGATGGGTTATTGGGGAATTTACCTCCAACCTCCCATTATCCATTACACACAGAGAGAAAGTTTTGTTTTATTCTTTTTGTCTTTGATTGTATATGTTTGATGTTCTTCCCTTTGATGGAAATGGCGTTGTAAATCAATAAATCAATAGGTTGTTATGAGTTTTCCAGGCTCTATGGTCATGTTCCAGAAGCATTTTCTCCTGACGCTTCACCGGCATCTATGGCAGGCATCCTCAGAGGTTGTGAGGTCTGCTGGACACTAGGACAATGGGGTTTATCCATAAAAAGAACTCTTGTCTGTTTGAGGTAGGTGTGAATGTTTCAATTGGCCACCTTGATTAGCATTTAATGGCCTAGCAGTTTCAAGGCATAGCTTCTTGCTGCCTAGGGGAATCCTTTGTTGGGAGGTGATTAGCTGGCCCTGATTTTTCTTGTCTGGAATTCCCCTGTTTTTAATTTTTTTAATTTATTGTTATGATTTTAGAGGGGTTTTTTTTTACTACCGGTACCAGTTTTTGTTCATTTTCATGGTTTCTTCCTTTCTGTTGGAATTGTCCACATGCTTGTGTATTTCAATGGCTTCTCCGTGTAGTCTGACATGGTAGTTGTTAGAGTGGTCAAGCATTTCTGTGTTCTATGGCAGGTTGCCTGCCATAGATGCAAGTGAAACATCAGGAGAAAATGCTTCTGGAACATGGCCATACAGCCTGGAAAACTCACAACAACTGAGTGATTCCAACCATGAAAACCTTCGACAATACAATAAATCAATAAATGTTTTGCTAGGGTAGCTATTTTATGTACAGTATGCTTTTTGCTCCCATCTGCAGGGGATATATTTCAAGATCTCTCATGGATATGTGAAACTGTGAATGACATGCTATATTTTGAGAATGATTTAGAATCACTCTGGAAGACCTGGAAGACAAACACTTCTGGGAGGGAATATTTTCAGAGCGTGAGTAAGTGAAAGTATGGGTATCAAGTCTGTGGATAAAGGGCTGTATTCCATAATATTGAAATCCAGAGCCTTTGCTACTTAGAAATTATAGATGCCAATTAGAAATACCCCTTTAAAGTAGAAAGGAAAAACTAAAGATGGTGAGTAACCCTGTTATTTTCAGATATAACTCAGGCAACCATTTGAAAAGAAACATGAAATCACAGACATTTGCCCAAACAGGAAAACACACACTGCAGAGGCATAATGTATAAAATAGTTTATTACTATAATAAATAAAATTAAATTTTGTCTTTACAAATATTATTTGTGCTTGTTTAAAAATGTCAGTAAGGGAATATTTATTAATGTCAGTGAGTGTAACTTTATTGGAACATTCCAAAACAGGAGATAATACGCTCTCGCTCTCTCTACTGGCAGCTTCTTAGCTGACCACAAAAATAGTATCTACTTAATTCATTTTGTTTTATTCATGCTTGATAAGACAAAGTGACAAATGCAAAGAAATAATCAAAAGAGATAATATTCTGTGAATTCTGGAAAGGATGAAAACAGGTGGAGTAAAGTGCCCAAACAACTGCATTACCGTTTATCCATAAAGTGTCCATGCAGTGGCGGCTGAAGGTTTCAATGTATTTCCAGCCGATGGAAAAATATAGCGTGTATGAAGGTACAATAATATAACACATTCATTATGAAAAGTCATATTACTTCATATAGCAGTTCATCCTGATACAAGATTATTGAAACTTTCTCTTGTTCAAATGAAGATTCCTTTCAAAAATTAGTACTCTGAGACCAACAAGGGGAAAATATTCCCCCTTTGAAAATGCATTCCTTAAAATGAAAAAACCAACCCTCCAACACTGGGTATTTTGGATCCAGTTATGGTAACATTGTGGGATTTCTCACATCAAATCAGTTTATACAACATTCAGGAGTCAGGGAAACATGTTACAGCATCAGGAAGAGACACCACCTTGGTCATGGATTAAGAAAAAGGGTGTATGTGCAGGAAGAGAGTTTTGCTTGATACACAAAACAGGAGGTTTCAACTCCCTAATATACAAAAGTGTCTATATGATGATAGAGGGTCCTCAGCTGGTGAGGAGGGAAAGGCTACAGCAAAACTAGTGAGAAGGCCATACGTGGAGGAATAAATTTAAATACCAATGCGTGATTTCTATTAGAGTTAAGAAATCTAATCAAAGTGCGTTATATCTTGAGGCAACAACTGTGGTGTGCACAAAACAATACAGAACGTTAGAAAGGGAGTCCATGACAGCATCACAGTTTCTATTTTTATGACTTACAGGAGGGGTCTTAAGGCTCAATGTTAAAATATCTTATTGCAAGAAGCTTTGTTTTGACTGAGCAGGAATCAATCCTTGCCGCAACAGTTTGGCTTGTGGGGGGGAGACAAATCAGATCAAAGATACTGTACTAATGACAGTGTTTCTTATATAACTGGAATTCTTGGAAGCATCCCAGTGAGGCTCAGTTGCTTTGAAATGCTTATTACTACTTTGAAGTGCCAATGATTGGCTATTGCCTCTGTGGCCCCTGAAGGTGCCTTCCTTCACTTGGCATCCATGGAGGATTTGCCAAGAAGCCAACAGCCACAGTGCATTTATGCCAAGATGGGGAAACATGCCACTGAAGGGTATCCAAAAACAACAGTGCCCAAATAGCTTTGCAGAAAGGCCGACATAATAAGCACCTTGAGGTGACCTATGAATGTGAGAGAGAACACTGCCCCAGAGGATAAATATTCTACTGATTTCTAGACTAGTCACTGCACTATAGAAATGCAGTGGACATTACCCACATAACCACAGACTGCCCCGGCAGTTTAGGCTACCAGGACATAGGCATGAAGCATGGGAATCAGACATCCCATTAAATAAATAAAATGCCCCCATCATTATGCAGCACAAAGACTTCCGAGACAAAGGCCATACCATTCTTGAAGTTACTAAGGACTTAAGTGGTTCTTGCATCCATTGGTCTATAATGCACATGAAACTCTATTATTTCCATGAAAAAATGCCTCTCCACCACACAGATAATGGACATATATTTAAACACAAAGCAGGAAAAAGACTCAGACATCAAATCTCCTACAGTAATCCTCAAAAGTGACAAAGACTTGTAAAAGCTGATCAGGTTTCAAACCTTACAGTATAGTTACTTTATGAGACTGGCCACAACCAGGACTGTTTTCACACTGCACAGTTATAGTGCTATGATTTCACTTTAACTGCCATGGGTGTGTAGTCTGGAGAGTTCATACAGTAGAACCATGGTTGTTTAATCATAGTTGTGGAGTCATAGTGCTACTACTGTGTATTGTGAAAAGAATCCAGGAGTAAGGAGTATTGTGAAAAGAATCCAGGAGTAAGGAGTATTCTATCTTACAGCCACTGGACTTGCTTCCAAACAGATGGACTCTTGTTTAATTGAATGTTGTTTTGGTTCCATTTAAGTGCTCCTGTGGGGAATAAGAGCCATTGGTCTACTAGTTCGTCCAGGTCTTTACAACTTTTCATTCACTGGCTGGAATCCCAATGTGAGAATACTCACTGAATCAATCCCATTGATTCAGTACATTGACTCTTGTCGCCAGTAATATAGGATTGCACCAGTGTGATATCGCTGCGCAAAAATACAGTTGCAATACATTTCAGTAGTCCGAAACAAGTTGGAAAGTAAAGAAGCTGTTAGAAAACCTGCTGTAAGGATAATGGTGTGATGGGGAAGGTTTGTACAAGAATTGTCCAATTTGCCAACACAGCCTTTTGGTTCCCAATATCATTGCCCACATAAGTCTCTGGCACTGTGGCACAGCTTTATGTCTTTATAAAGCTTAATCCTTACAGTTCCTATTACAAACCTAGCAAAAAAAAGTTTTGTGGCAACAGGCTTGGATGATCATAACTTTTAGCTATAGCAATCATGTGAAGTGAACTTTTTCAATATTTAAAATCAGTGGCCCAATGTTACATGTAAGCAGGCATGTACATCAACAACTGGTCTTGGATGGACCAGACTGTCCCTTTGAGTTCATAGATTCATCCTTCTGATATGGGATTCCAATCATGAGGTAAACAAAGATATAGTTTGCATCAGCTCTTCTTTCAAAGCCTACTTATGTACAAGCAACTGGGTGAGTAATGTGATCATACTAATCAAGATGGTGTGTGGATTCATGCCATTCATTTGCTATCGTATACTGACATTCAGTCTCTGTAGACATAAACTTTACCGAAGGTCAAATGTGACTACTACTTTATTTATACTGAATAGTAGCAGTTGATGGTTTCCAAACCAGTGGGTGATAAATTTGCCCCAGGAGTTAGTCTCAATCTTCAAGGAGATATTCAAGATGCTATTTTGAAGATAAATTTGAGCTTGCAATTGTAACATCAGGACTAAAATGTAGAATAGAAGGCCCACATTGCAGACATGGAAGCAACCAGCGACCCCCAATGCAACAAAAATATACTCTAATCTGTCACATCTGCACAAGAATTCTGGTTCTACTGATATTTCTTTGGTCATACCTTGGCAGCACAGCTTCAATCTTATGAAACTTTACAACTGAAATAATATCACAACCCGTTGGGAAACATGTCCTTTATACTGGACGGATTGTCCACCAGGGAAGACTTCTTCTTATTACCATGATCATAAAGTGAGATATACGCTGTTACTAGTTCAGTAACATTAACTATAGTTCAAACCAGTGCACACTTGAGTGTTGTGTATCTGCACAAACACAGACACAAAAAAATTAAAATCATTTTTTCATGGTTCCACACTAAACGCTACACTGAGTCAAAACAAGGAAACAAAAATCACAGAGATGTTTACAGTAAATAGCTCTTTCAATTCATTACAGTGAAGTACTGTAGAAGTAGAACATCACCTTCGAAGCTGGATGTTCTCTGGAAAATCGGGATAGCGCTGTAAATGAAATTTAAAGCAAGAAGGGTGTTTTTAATATAGTACATGTAATCTCAGACAGAAATACACATATTCCACAGACACAAAGGGCTTTTCAAAATAATTCTTCAAAAATTACATCATTTTAGTGACTTGCTTTTCAATAAGGCCTGCGTTTTAAAAACAAATAAGGTTCTTTTATCTTAAAACTTCCACGTTAATTTCAAAATCCTTTCATCACAGTGAAGATCCATTCCTGAGCATTCTACTACTAAGACTGCATCACAGATTTCTATCACATATCATCACATTGTGTCCAGTATTACTTGGAATTTACAACTGTCTTGTTTTGATGATCATTTCTTTGGTACACATCACATTGGATCAAAGGGATCCATTCAGTAGTGACTGGTGGTTACAATACCACCAAGGTTCTCAATTTTACTCAAAACTTTAATGGAGCTATCCAAAGTCCTGAACCTTATCACCAAATTTGGTGCCTTGGACAAACACTATATAAGGTAGGCATGGATAAACTAAGGCCCGGGGCCCAGATGTCAACCTCTGGGTGCTTACCTAAGACCCTCCTCATTCTCCCTGTCCTCTAGCATAAGGTCATGGTGGCCCGCCACATCCTTATTCAGAAAGGTTGGGGGAGGAAGGCACACAGCAGCTGAGAGCCCTCTGGAGCACTCTCATCCACCACATGTTTCTCCCTCCTCCTGGCATAAGGACAATGCAACAGTTGAGAACCCTCCAGAGTGTTCTCGGCAGTTGCCTGTCTTGCCCTCCTCCTAGCATAATACCAAGAGGACAGCCTAAAGATCTGGGGAGGAGGATCGGGGCAGTTGCTACATGTTTCATTTTCCTCCCGGCATAAGGATGGAGTGAGTAGCCCCATCCTTATGCCAGAAAAACAACCCGAGGATGACCCAGGAACTGTCCTGCCCCCTCCCAGTCCTAATCTTTCACAGACCCTCTCCCTCCCAAGCTCATCTCACCCAGCATATGCCAGGCCACCCTCCCTCTCGGCTCAACCCTCTCAGTCAGGTCCACAATGTGGGCCCAAGGCAAAAAAGTTTGTCCATGCCTGCTATAAGTATTAGAGTAAAATCCAGTCTGAGTTCATAACCCCATTAACCTTCAAGTCATTAGATGCCACTGGTTCCATCCATGCAAGTTGCCTCTACCCGACATTAGAATCATGCTTTCTTCTACACCATAGTTTAGTACAGTAAGAGTAGGCATGGGCAAACTTTGGCCCTCCAGGTATTCTGGACTTCAATTCCCACAATTCCTAACAGCCTCAGGCCCTTTCCTTTTCCCCTCAGCCGCTTAAGCTTAACCTTCTTTTACAATTTTAAAGACTAGGAGATACATCGCCAGGAAAACCCAACTGTATGAATTAGTATAAATACAGATCCAGTTATATTTAGAATAAAAACCCTAAAAGTAATTACTAACTTAAGTCTCACTGAACCATAAATACAACTAATTCTAGAACAGACTCCTTTTTTCATTTCTAATGGTATATGTCTTCCTGAGGTTTTTCTCTTACTTCTGCTCTTCTGTGTATTTGCGTTAATCCACAACAATGTCTCTCTGACAATAACTTCATTTGTGTGAAACTCTTGGCATTCTGTGCAACAAGCTTCATCTTTGATTCTCTGAACTGAATTAATTCAAATTAATTTTATTGATCCAATCAGTGGAAGCATACAATGTTTCAGAAGGCCAACTAAAGAACAGGTTATAAGTTGTTTAATGAGAGTTAGGTAGGGATGTGTAACTTGTAACTTCAAGCCAAATTCTTCCATTTATTCCAGAAGTTGACTATAGAATTTCACTGAAGCCTACAGAGAATATTTATAGCTAGTTCCTGTTGCACAGTTCTATAGTATGCTTTGACTAGAAGCTGAAGACATTCCTACTTTTTGTTAAAAAAATAATGGATTACAGTTTATGAAAGGTCTGGAATGAATACCTTGCATAATACATGAGTTTAATGTAATGCATAAGAATGTCATTAATGGGATTCCTTTTGTGGAATGATCTGATGGCATAAACTTTGTTATATACTTTGCTATACTTTTAAGTGTAATTTGTATTTATTATTTCTAAGAAGCTCTTTGAGGGACTATTTTTGGTCATTTATTACATTATATTAGAATATAAAGTCTATATTGCCTGGGATCCTATTAGTATGTACATCTAGTGAAATTAAAATGGGGGCGTTATGTAATGCCTGTATGAAGTAAGTGGCTATTATTAAATGACTCTAGGAGCCCCCAGTGGCACAATGGGTTAAACCCTTGTGCTGGCAGGACTGAAGACCATCAGGTCATAGGTTTAAACCCGGGGAGAGAATGGATGAGCTCCCTCTGTCAGCTCCAGCTCCCCATGCGGGGACATGACAGAAGTCTCACACAAGGATGGTAAAACATCAAAACATCACAGCATCCCCTGGGCAACATCTTTGCAGACGGCCAATTCTCTCACATCAGAAGCGACTTGCAGTTTCCCAAAAAAAATTAAATGACTACATAGGGGAGATTAGGCCAACACACATTAAAATCATTGCACAACTGGACATGATGTACATTGGGATGGATGCATATTGGTCTTGATGTGCATTCGTTTTGTTATGCATTACAGCACCAGGTAGGATGTCCCAATACACACTAGTAGAGTCCACTTTTATCAGTGTCCTTTGGAATTGTCTAACAGGGCTTCCTTCACAGCTAAGTATGTGTAAAGTTATATAACATAGAATGTGACAGAGAATTCTGGTCTTTGGGGAGAGAATAAAAAATGCAGTACACTTAAAGTAACAAGCAATGTTACTTTAACAATATGTCATTTCTAAGGTCAGGGAGGTAGATAATGCCTAATGCATGTTGGCCACAATCCTTTATTATCTATTTAGATATATAATCAGCTTAGTTATGTAACTAAGCAGTGTCTCTTAGTATGTCGCAATGCTTCCAAACAACAAAGGGCTGTTTCCTGTCCATTGGGAAGCAGTTGACTGACATTCCTACCCCATCCCCTGAGTAATCTCTGATACCACGGTCTGAAGCTGGGTCTCTGCCACAACTCCCCTTAGCACCTGAGACCACACATGGGGATGGGATGAAGCAGCAGAACAGAGTCTGGTTTCTTTAGCACTATTTAATACCATGATTTAAAAAAAAACTATTTCTCCCTGATTATCTCTATATACAGTGGGGATTGGTACACTGTACCCATGAGCTACATGCAGCTCCCCTGTGCCATTTTGTGGCCCCAAAGGTTAACATTTGTTGCCCCCAAATGTTCTTTAGCATGTGGGCACATTTTTGCCATGTTTGTTTTCCCCTGGGCATTTTTAGGCCAAAGAGTGGAAGTGACTTCCAGCATTTAGGAGTAATTTTATTTCTAGAAGGATGCTGTTAGCAGCCATCCAAAGTGTCCTGGAGTGCTAATGGGGCTCCCTAGCATCCCACAGTTGCACGCGTCTAATACAGAGCATCACTTTTAGGAGTAGTTTTACCTGATCACATTTAGAAAGACACATGAGATTCCAAGCCCCTTTCTTCCTGTTTATTTAATCCTGATATATATTAATGCAAGTCTGCAGAACTGGTAACCTTACTGCAAAGCAGAATATAATCACCAGTTATGCCTTACTAAGAGCTTTATCCTGCACTCTTGCACTCCTATGAAGTTTGCCATCCCCCCTCTGAGATTTTATTATTTTATCTAATTAATCCTCCCTTAGTTAGAAGGGGTTGGGTTCTTTATTGTATAGCTTATGGGAGGGAACCATACTTTATTTATTTACCAGATCCAGTAGCTTCCTTGAAGCTAGCTATTTGGAAAAAAAGTGCTAGAGGAGCTTGGAAGCGGAACACATTGCATGTTTAGAAGTTGGTGCTAGAAGTTGAAGAAAACCTGCCACAGGTATATGGAAGACAAGGCAAGAAAGGACACAGAAGGAAGGCAAAAAGTAAGCAAGAACTACAGTTGAGTCAAGCCTCCAACTTTTCCTACAAATTTGACTTGTTAGTCCTGGGAGGAGTTCGAATGTTGACATTTTATTACCTTATTAAATTCCTTAACTGTTCAGCTATGTAAATCCAATCTGTTCCTGACGAGATTAGAGTATCTTCAAAAATTAACTCAGGGGACAAAACTAGGTCTATGATATCTCTGATTATGCCAAAACATTTGGATGGTGAACTGCATTTGGTTGTATTAATCTACATTAGCGTGTGTGGTCTAGTTATTCAAACCTTCCTGTCTTTCAGATTTAAGTTGGAAGTCAACCTCTTTGTAGATCCACAAATCAGACCAAGTTAGGCCTGCTGGCTTCTGCATTAGCATCCTTTAACACTCGCAATGAATTTTTCCTGCTGCAGCAGACCAGGGTTCAGATATCACTAATATATTATAATTTAGAATCATATGCAATTCTAGTGTGGACACAATAACTCCTAAAAGAATCACAAGGTATATGTGTATATCCTGCAGTTACTTGGCTACTTTAATCTTATATCATATGCACAACTGGCTCTCTACATTTGGCAATTTGATTAATACATTCTTTCTACGAATCTCTAGGTCCCCCAGTGCTGGAAGATCTCTCTAAGTCTTCCTTCTATTGGAAATTAACCACAAAATTACGCTGGAGAGCTTAAAGATTTCTAGAGAGATTACTTCTCTAAGCATCTGTATGTCCACCAGAATGATTATGGTCAACTCCTGCCTGAAGTTGACCACAGAATCATGCTGAAGAACTTGGAAATTCCTCAGAGATATTCTCTCAGGTAAAATAAAGAGTTTGTAAAATTCAGTTTTCCCACTTTCATGGGGATCCAGAGGCCCTAAGTCTGTGAAAGTGAAGGCCCTACCTGTATCTGCACAAATACACACATACACCATGCATACAGACAGTCCCCAAGTTACAAACAAAACAGGTTCTGTAGGTTTGTTCTCAAGTTGAATTTGTATGTAAGTTGGAACAGGTACATTTTTAAAGTGTAACTCCAGCCATGTGTGTGTGTGTGGATAGCACAAGGAAGGTTTAACACACCTGTGGTGTTTGTTTTGCTGTCTGTGTCTCTGTTCAGAAGATTTCATTTCACTTTCTGTCCCTGTGATAATTAGATTTTGAAAAAAATTAGCTTGTTGTGGAAACAAGGATTGGTGGTAAAGCTTCAATTGAGATACCTTTTCCCCATGATAACTCTTTCAGGAGTGAATCAGGAGGAAGAGTCCTAGGGGTAGATTTCTCTTACTTCCTGTTGTCTCACCCTCATTCTTAACCATGAGCCTTTGAAAGTCTGATGTTTGTAACTTGGGGACTACATGTATATATATATCTAGACAAAAGCAATTGGAAAAAAAGTTCTGCAGCTAAAGCTTTTCAACTTACACTTCCCAACTTTTGTACGCAGTACCACAAGCACTTACAAGGTCTGTCACCAAGTTTAAAATATCCTGAATTAAGTATATGGCTTTTCACTGATTAACTGATCAATACATTAAATGAGAATCATTTTTCATGTGGATAAACATTAATTTTGAAGGGAAAAGAGACTACTCGTATATTCTTTGTTTTCAATTGATATCCATCAGTCCATTGTAGGAAGGAGAATTCCTACAAAAAGAAAATGACAGTTCTTCTCCTAAGCTTGGACTTCCCATCCATGTTTGTTTTGGAAATAGCTGCAATCAAAAGCAAGGCAATGGCCAGAAACAAAAGTGCTTCCACCATAAGGTACTTCCATGCAAATGGCGTAGGGGTATCATTTGATTATTTATTTCAACTATAGCTTTCCATTCAATGTCTCCTGATTTTCAGAGAGACTTCCCAAAGAAACATATGAACATGAAACTGGAAGAAGACAAGTCTCCATTATGTGAGCAGAAATATACACTCCTTGATCCAAGCTACTCAAAACACACAGCATAGATACTGTCACTCTGCTTCCCAATTATTTTAAAGTGTTGTTTTATAAAAATCAATCCAACCTGATCATTCAACCAAGCACTGAAACCCTAGAACGAACAACTCAGTTGCAGTGATAAATGTCATGAAAAATAAATTAAGCAAACTGGTCCTGGTTTCTATGCAAGAGTTCATGATTGTTTTGTATAGAAAAAATTAATCTTAAGGAACTAACATCCTCCAAGGCTTCTTCGCACGACTGCAGTGGAATTACTAACTGCTGGGCTTTATGTGCTGTATATTACTGGAATCACTTTCTATTTTTGTCCCTAATAATTAGAAATATGAGAGCAAAACCTCTCCCTGAATCTCTGTGTTTTTTACAGCAATCAAAATCTTCTGCAAAGACCATGGCTGCAAAGACTCTGGTACAGGGATCGTTTACACTCAGCAGGGCATCTTCTTCCCATTATTCTACAGAAGCTGAATCTGAGGACGTTTGTAACACCGCTGCATTTCTAAGGGGTGACTAGTGAAAGGAGAACCAACTTTGAGAAAAGAGAGGATGATGTTTGTGGGGAGCTAAGCACGCAGGTTTCTAAATCTATCAGACAATTTGTAAAGGACATTTGCATTGCCAAAAATATAAAAAATAAACACCCCTGCTCTTTTCAAATGCATTGAAATCAGCTGACTTCTTATTCTGCAATCAGCAGAGGTTGGTGGCTCTAATGCAGGCATGGGCAAACTTGGGCCCTCCTGGTGTTTTGGACTTCAACTCCCACAATTCCTAACAGCTGGCTTTTAGGAATTGTGGGAGTTGAAGTCAAAAACAGCAGAAGGACCCAAGTTTTCCCATGCCTGCTCTAATCTCAGTGAAATGACAAATCCACTCAACGTTTTAGTCCCAACTTTAAAGACCTACTCAAGGTGCAATGAATAGACTGAAGCAGGTTGCATCAGTCTTTTAAATCTTGGGTTTAAAACTGCTCCACTCAGAAATCAGAGCTACCACTGACAGCAAATAAATATATTTCGCATTTATGGCAACATTATCTGCAAATTCTCTTACTTTCTCAATGTATGAGCCAGCACAAATGTAATAGTAGCTCTCCACAAACCACAGTTGACAATTAGAAGCCAGTCTTGTCATGTCATATGCTTTCTGGCTACATCCTTCCCATTCTGATGCAAATCTCTCAATGTTTGTGGTTCATGTTCTCACTAGTACTATGTATAGTAAATGCTTATTAGGATTCCCACTGCAATGCAGAATGAAAAACAGGATTTGCAGCAGGTTTGCAAACTACTAGGGGAGATGGTTAACATAATCAATGTTGACTTTCTATCAGAAATAATGTAGAATGCTAATATAGGCAATGAAAGGAATGGGGTAAGGGAGGTAGTACTATAAAGGCACACATTTTCAAAGTTGGCTTCTAGTTTTCAATGCATGCCTTGCTGTAAGTTAGCATTATGTCTGTGTTGATCTAGGTATATCTAGTAGATTATCCACACTGCCTAATTATAGCAGTATGATGCCGCTTTTGTTGTTATGACTTGATCCTTCGAAATCCTGAAACCTCTAATGCAGAGAGGTACTTAAGAATTTCTCCCTAGAAAGCTCTCATGTATGTCTAAGGAGAATGGGAAGTATCTCACTAAACTCCAATAGCTAGGGTGCCATATGGTAAACGTCTGGCAACTAAAGTGGCATCAAAGTATTATAAGTAGATAGAGTGGATGCACTTGCTTAAAAAATCTGACCCTTTAACTAATGTTCAAACATACAATAGTGCTATTTAATTGTGGTAGTTTTAAATGATAATGTAAAGTATGGTGGTCAGGGAGTTTCAGAGACAACAACAACCATTGAGCACACCAACTATCTTGTCAAAAAAAATGACATTCATGTGTATAGTGTTATGTCTTTCTGTCCAAACTGACAAGAGCAGTTTAAGATTATTAATGACAAATGGATTCCTGATAGGAATCCAAATAGGGGGTTTATGTTTCATGTGTGCTATCAAATGATGGATACAGTGTATATTTTCAAAGGTTGACCACAGCCATATTGTTAAGGATGTCCTTCATGCAACCAATGTAAGATAAATGCACGTTTGCACACACAATCTCAATACTGTAGCTGTATATCAACTGAGCAGTAGTACTGCTCTTAAAATAATCACAGTAAAAATTTCAAAGCATTCCACACATCTTAATTCAGTGGTTTTCATCTTGATCTTCTAGATGTTAGGGACTTTAGTTCCCAGTATTCCTAAGCAGTGGCCATATTGGCTGGGATTTCTGAGAGCTGACCTCCAGAACATTTGGAAGACAAAGTGGGAGAACCGTGATCTTAGATCATGGATGTGATGCACTGCCATTTTGTGGTACTTAGTTCAAGAGAGATTATGTGCAACCAGTCAATTGATTTATACCAATATATGCATAGTCTAATGATAAAAGTAGTGCTAGGCTCCAAGATAGCTATGGGGTTTCCTGCAGAATCATACATCACTAACAACACAGTCCTTCTTTGTCATGGAGAATTTGTCCTCTTCTTGCTTTAATATTCCTTAGTGCAATTGAACTTTTTATAATGCATACACACTTGTCTTTTACTTGCTATCATGCCCTAGTTAGGTTTCACAAGACAAGGGAGAAAATGTCACTTCTAAGAATACAAGATAAGGACTAAATTCCACACGATATCTTCATGAGGTACTGGAGACCATTCCAATGAGAAAATACATTGGACTGATCTGCATGCCATAATGCACCATTGGTATTGATTTATACATACATTATTTCAACGTCCTTTGGTGTTCATACCGATTAAAGGAAATTCAAAGCCAAAGCAAATAGTCTAAAATGGCAAAACATAAAACACTATCAATGTTTAGTTGTGAAGTGGCTGTTTTTTTCTTATCACAAATGCAGATACATGAGGAATGTCTTTGCTTTCATAGCTCCAAGATTTGTACTAACCAGGATACTTGCCTAATAGCTTTGCATTTATTTGCAAGTAGACAATAACAACAGAATCTGAGTTCCCTACCCACCAGTAGGCAATGTCCCTTATTGTGAATTCTATGTGAAATTAAATGCTACTTGGTTCTATAATAATTTCATACCCCCCCCCCCCCCCCCCGCTGCCTTTCTGAATTGGCTCATTATCACCAAGATGTAAAACCACCACATATTTTACTTGATCTATAAAGATTAATCAGACACAAAAATGGGGAGAAACTGCTAAAAAAATTATAATCAATTCACCAGCAATTATGATGATATAAAGACATGTTCAAAATACAAAGCTTCAAAAAAAAAAACCCAGTTCATATTGTGGACTCTATTAATCTTGGTAGTGTTTAGGAACTTCCATTTTGCTGATGTACCTGGCATGAGACACATACATGCGCAGCCAGTCCATACAACTGTCCCCTCAAAAAGGGGAAAATAATCATGCAAATTGGGTCATATGCATACCCTTTATGGATTAATCCAAAGGCCTATGTAATCAAGCATTCTACCCTCAGAGTGGCTAACTGGTGGATATGGAAAGCAGAATGTGTGTATCAGTACTCTTTTACTTGTGTTCCCCTGCAAATGATATTCAGAGGAATTCTGATTTTGATACTGGACGTAACATATAGCCACCATGACTACTAATCTCTGAACAGCTTTCCTGATGCTGAATCCTCAGCAGGGATTTGAACCTACATCCCCTTAGTCCACCCCTCCAACCAGTATATCACAATGGCTCTTCTCTTTGCGTATACTGCTCTGTGGAGAGCCCTTCTGTCAGATCCATTCTTCAGTGCAGGGCAGTGGACATGCAAAGAAGCACTACAAATCAGTTATGTATAAAACTGGACCTAAGATTTTGATTATGGGTTCCTATGAATGCTTTTTAAAAGGGAAACAGATGCACTAACGAAGAAGTAGAAAAAACATTATAAACTGTACCCTTGCTGTCAAAAAGACTTGATTCAGCTGCCATCTTGACATGAGGTCACCACTCTTGTAACTGTACCATTTAGAGAAGAGGGACCAGATTAATGGGCTGGCCCCTCAAATATGGTGTTCACCAAGAAAACAGTAAATGTTTTTTTTAAATGTTTAGTGGGTGTTAGATTGTGTTTGTGGGGATATTCAGATCTCCTGTTTTAAAGAAGCACCTCAGCTTGCTCCAAAAATGTCTTTTTCTGACTCTGGAGACTGAGGTCTTGATATTTCAAACAACTCCTGTGGTGTCTGGGAGCTTCTTCTAGAGGCTAATATCCTTAGTATCTCAGCAAGCTGTTTTTCTATATTGGTCATTTTTGTATTTAAAGCTTTGATGTCCTCCTTCAACTCATGTTTCACTTCCAGCATTGTTGCTTGAAGCGTCTGTTCAGGAATAGGATAGAATGAGTGTCTGACCTCTGCCAGGATAGGGCTGCGGTCCTGAGGACTCCTCGTCTCCCCAACATTGTCCAAACGCAGGTCACTTTTAGTGATGCCACTGTCACAAGAGTCAGTCTTCTTCAAAGTGGCTTCCCCTACCACTTTTGTTCTCTCTGGCAACGTTTCCATGGACTCTGCTTTGGACACTTTGTTCCAGTCCTCTCCTTTTGCACAGGCATCTTTGAATTTGGCCCAACCCTTACGCTTTGGATAATCCCCTGCCACTTTCCCCACTACATAGTCTGAGGCAGGGGCTTGCAATTTGGCCTGGTCAGAGGCTCCAGATGTTGAAGCTGACTGATAGGCAATTGGCGTGGCAGGGCTTTCCCTGACTGTTACAATGCTGGCTTTGACCACAGTGCGTGAAGGGTTGTCTCCCAGAGCATTGCCTTTCTCAACATCTAGCTCCTCTCTGCCTCTCTCAGCAGCTAAGCGAGCTTCCTTTTGCTGCCTAAATCTTTGAAAAAGTCGGCGGACAGGATGGTCTGGTGGCAGGACTAACGGGGCCTCATTCTTCCTTTTCATTCTCTCTTCCTCTTCTCTTTTAACATCACTGATCTTGCGGAAGACGATCTGTAAAGAAGGAAAAATCACATAAAAGGTTACAAATCTAGACTGAAAAATGATAACGATTCCTCTTATTTTAATACTCCTCAATCAACCATGATTGTCTGGTTTTAGATGGCTAATAATTGGCACAAAACAGATTTTTGTATTAGTCAGAAATGTTAAATGTTCTACATGTGCAACACTAGAGTTTGGAAGCACTAGTTTTTGAACTCTCTGAATCCCTCTGCCAGTGCAAATTCCAAAACAGTAACATTTCTAAGTTCTTGTTATTATAACATAACCACTATTCAAAACTGTGGTCCTTTTTGGATGCTTTGTAATCTTGTTACTTCCTTACCTGCCTTGATGAGAAGTGAAAACTCACAAAACGAAATACATATTTTAAAAGCCTATTCACTACCAGTTTCTGGAGGCTGATCATTCATGTGGGAGCACACAATTGCAGGAAATCTCCAGGGAGCAGCTGGCTTTCTTCCTGAACAAAATTCTTACAGAAAGGTCTGCACCTTGTATGAATACAGCTGGGGGAGTTGACTGCCTTATGGGAAATGTTCCAAGTCCTGGTGTCATATTTTTCACAGTTAAGGTGTACAGCACTAGGGCTTAGAGTCTATGAGGTGTCCATTTTTATTTTGAACCATTCTGACATTTCAGACACTTATACACATTGTGCTGTTTTAGTTAACACAGGTGTGCAACTTTGCCTTGGAGCATCTGTCCAACTGGGATTTTAAGGTTGTGCAGTGTTAATAAAGATGTGATGTTTTCTGTACCGGGAACAAAAAAGCATTGCTTTTCTTCCCATTGGTTTTTGTCAAGTGGTGAGGAACACCAAATCTTGACTACATTTGGGAAGCTTAAATTGCTGAGCATATTTAGCCTTCAGAAAAGAAGGCTGAGAGGAGACATGATGGCCATTTATAAATATTTGATAGGAAGTCATAGGGAGGAGGGAGCAAGCTTGTTTTCTGCTGCTCTGGAGACTAGGACTTAGAACAATGGCTTCAAACTACAAGAAAGGAGATTCCACCTGAACATTAGGAAGAACTTCCTGACTGCAAAAGTTGTTCAGCAGTGGAACTCTCTGCCCCAGAGTGTGGTGGAGGCTCCTTCTTTGGAGGCTGGATGGCCATCTGTCAGGGGTATTTTGAATGTGATTTTCCTGCTTCTTGGCAGGGGGTTGGACTGGATGGCCCATGAGGTCTCTTCCAACTCTATGATTCTATGATTCTCTGAACTTCTGAACTGCTGAATACCCATTCCATCCCTAGTTGCTGAGGGGCAGTTTAGCTGCAAATGTAATTTGCTTTTATAGAAGGTCAGACTGGAAAGAATCACTGTCTTGCCATTTTTTTCTGAATCAGCTCCAACATCTTAGATCAACAATAGCATCAAAGCAGCACTCCTCTTGTGAGTATATATGTATTTGTAATTTAACTGATACTTTTGTGTAGGTGGTTAAAGAGCAAAATTTTCTCCCAGCATATGTCTGTTTCACAATATATGGTGTTTGGAAAATATTTATGAGTGTAAACTATGATCTGGAATTAATACGATATCACAGCTAACTGTGTGTATTAAGTACCAAAACTAAACATTTAAAATTACAATTACTTCATGTGGGTTCTAATAAAAATATATACATTTAAATATTGTAGCATTTGCTTTAAAAACACAACCTTTATAAATAATTAGCACATAGGAAAACATTTGCAAATAATTGGGAAAATGTTGAAGATATATTTCATAGAATAATAGAGTTGGAAGAGACCACATGGGACATCTAGCCCAACCCCCCTGCCATGCAGGAAGAGTACAAAGTATCCCTGACAGATGGCCATCTAGTTTCTGATTAAACGTTTCCAAGGAAGGAGCTTTCACCACTCTCTGAGGCAGAGAGTTCCGCTGCTGAAAAGTTTGTAGGGTCAGGAAGTTCTTCCTAATGTTCAGGTGGAATCCCTTTTCCTGTAAGGTTAACCCATCTGAGAAGCCCTGCTGGACTGATGAGAATTTTTTCAGTTCAGGATTCATTCTGCACACAATTTATTTACATTTTTGGCACAGAAAGCTGCATTTTCTGTGCAGGAAACATCATTTTCTGAATAGAAAAACAGGTTCCTGTGCAGAAAGTGCTGCTTTCTGTGGGAAAAGCCAGTGTGTGAACTTTGTGCAGATTAAATCTTGAATTGCAAAAATTCTTCACATACTTTTTCACAGCAGAAAGAATGTTTCTAAAATTTCCTTTGAGAGTGAAATTATTGAAGCATTTCATTATAGTTAGCATATTAGAATATGACTGAACCTTCAGGTTCCTCTGTAAGTACAAGATGGCAATATAAGGGAGCAGAACATCTTTAGATGCCTGAGTATTGGACATTTCATGATTTTATATTGCTAATTAAAGACTGATAAATAAGCACATGAAATAGTGCAATCCTATAAAAATTAACTAAAATGTTCAATTGAACATATTCCCAGGTTAAATGTATATAAGATTGCAACTCGAGAGTCTCTGAAAAATATCCTGGTGTCGGGGTGGGAGGGTTGGAGCTATTAGTGCATTTTCTTCGAAGGTGTGGTCTAAGTGTTTTTAGGAATATTGTAAATGGGAAATGCTTCTTAAAAACCCGTTGTCTTCTTATCCAAAAAGATGAATAAATACCTAATCACACACAGAGGAAATGACAAGAAATAAACAAAGGAAGTAATTTTCACATTGGCACCTATAATTAAAATTTTGCTTTGGTTGCCTGATGCAAAACAAATCCATCTTAGGTTTTGTACTACATTATCCTGTGCATAGGTAACAATATATGAAAGAGCGGAAAGAGTGCAAGAACATGAATAAGAAATTAGAAGCATTTATGATAGATAAGAGTAGAAGAATGTTACAGGCTTATACCTGGAAATGTTTTTCTAATGAATAATTGTGGTTTTCCTCTTGCTTCAGTACATTTTTATTCTGATTTTCCTATGTAGCGCTTGAATAAACTATTTTTTATATATATATATATATATATATATATATATATATATATATTCAACTAACTGAGAGGAGCTTTCTTTACATGTTGTATTAAGAGATTTCCATCTCCATGGAAGCTGCAGCAAGCCAGTAAATTGTAGTTCTTAAGAACCACAATTGTAAGGAAACACAATGTTTAGGCAGCATATACATGAGATGATCACCCCATGCTGTGATTAGCTCCAGTTTCAACACTGCCTTTCCCATCAGCAGATCTAAATTCCACATTTATCTGTTCACTTCAATTGACTCAGAGAAGCTATGCTGGCTCCCACGTTACAAGTATCCAACTAGCAACCAATATCATTCACACAGAGTGAGAGCAAATGATAGGAAAATCAGCTGTCTGCCTCTATTTTCATTGCCTTTACCTTGATCCTTCTATCTTGAAACGCAATGAATAAAACCTAGGAACTTCTGCATGCAAAGCATGTGCTCTGCTACTGAGCAAATATCATAAAGCAGTGTCTATCTAGTACAGCTAGAAATGATTCAATCGTTTTCTAAATATATGCAGAAGCCCAGATGAAATCTATTTTTTCAAGGTATGAGAGAGGCGGTAATAGTCCATGTACACCCATCTCAAAATATTGTATCAGAATCAGAGCTCAGAAAAATTGTTCCAAAAAATCCCAACCAGAATGTTTGATATAGTATTCTGTGAGATATAGATCCAAATATCTCCTTCCTTTGAAATATTCTGCTAGTTGACTGAAACTGAGACAGTCTATATATGTCAGCTCGCTTATCTGCTGAGAAAGGAAGATCGAGAGAGTGTGCCTTTTGGTCTCTCCCCAAAAAGAGAAAATGAGAAAATACTGGCGGGGGGGGGATTGATGAGCAGTGAGATTGCAAGTCCACAAGAGAGTAGCGGTAATGGGGCAGGCCTACATTTACTGATGTGCAGATGATCACGTAGCAGAAACTATAGCTGTGCACATTTCCATGATGCCACAGTCAATCCAACCAAAGGTTACACTTGCAGAACTTCTTTGCATAACTGACTGCACAGCGAGTTACATTATCAGAGTACTTAAAGGGATCTTTGAGCACCTTTAAGACTTAGGACCCTTCCAGATAGGCCCTATATCCTAGGATCTGATCCCAGGTTTTCAGTTTATCCCAGTTTATCTGGCAGTGCAGACTCATATAATCCAGTTTAAAGTAGAACACCTGGAATCTGATCCTGGGAAGTAGGGCCTGTCTGGAAGGGCCCTTAGAGAAAGAAATTGGTAATATTAGCTTTCATAGGTGCTTCATCAACTCTTGTAGATTTAAATCTACAAGAGTTGATGGTGCCAACTTCTTTCTCTGTTAATCTCAAGAGTTGTTGTGGGTTTTTCGGGTTGTATGGTCATGTTCTAGAAGCATTCTCCCCTGACGTTTCGCCTGCATCTGTGGCAAGCATCCTCAGATGTTGTGAGGATGCTTGCCACAGATGCAGGTGAAACGTCAGGAGATAATGCTTCTAGAACATGGCCATACAACCCGAAAAACCTACAACAACCCAGTGATTCCAGCCATTAAAGCCTTCGACAATACAATCTCAAGAGTTCTTCATACTGATCCAGACTAACAAGGCTATGCCCAGTGAGACATTGCCAGGGGTTGATTTACTGCAGCACAAAAATGGAACTCCAATAACACCAAGAACAACAATTTATTCCACCTTTTCCCCAGTCTAGAGTCTCAATGCTATGGAATCCTGGGAGCAGGAGTTTGGTGAGGTTCTAGTATTATTTTGGCATGTAAAAACTACATGTTTCCATAGCAATGAGCCATGGGGTTAAAATAATGTCAAACTGCATTGATTCTACAGTGTAACTCAGGTATGGGCAAACTTCGGCTCTCCAGGTGTTTTGGACTTCAACTCCCACAATTCCTAACAGCCTACCAGCTGGAAGTTACAATCCAAAACACCTGGAGGGCTGAAGTTTGTCCATGCCTGGTGTAAATGCATCCTATGATTCATAATGGC